TGGAAAAACGGTAAACTCGGGTGTCGTGGAAGGCGAATGCACACGGCTCATTCGATTCTCGGCCTTCCTTTTGCGCTTGCACGAACGCGCGAAAAGACCCCGGATGCAACTTTTAGCTCGCAATTTAAAATGCTTCGTCCCTAAATTTTTAATTTTACTCGTTCATCTGTTTATCACGCTCTTAGTCAACGGTTAGCGCAATTCGTATATAATTTCTTCTCGCTCGAAGAAGCTGTTCTCTTAAACATCGTTCACCGTAGCTAGTAGAACCATACTTTACTCGTTCGAACGTAAGACTTACTCCTTGTGAAAAGCGAAAACCCCTTTCGCACGTTCGAGACTGTGTTTGCTTCAGTTTACATTAATTTCGCGCGCGCGTAAGTTTCAAATTCTCTCGAAAACTAATGCTTCGCGTTAGTTTTATCGCGCAGCTCGCATTCGTCGCGATTAATGAACGCCGGGCGCGCATTACAAGCATCCTGGAAATCCAATGACGCATTCCGATATCCGAGATCTGGTAGTTTTGTAATCCGAGTTATTAGAGGAACACTTAGGAATGACATTAGAAATTTATTAATAGGCCCGTGACAACGATCGGATGACCGTCCGCGGCGAGAATGAGATATTCCCGCGAAAATGATTCGGATGCCCGTGATAATTCGTCGGATCCCAACACGAATGACGTATGAGGGTTTGAAAGTGACCGATGCCGGTGTCGTCCTGAAACTGTCGCGAAAAAAACCTGTGATGCGAGCGAGGAATTAGGGTTCCATCGAGGGAATATCAGTCACGACTTTCTAACCAAGCGACCGTGTCGTAAATTTCCCTCCCCGCGCAACGAAGCTTCCAGCTGCGAATTTATTACGTTGCTCTCGCATCGATCTGTTTCGTGATCGGGTTCGGAAAGATATTTCGGGGTTCCGGGAAGATTCCTCGGTCTCATAAGAGAGATTTCCACGAGTTTTATTTGCGTCGGTCGGGAAGGGTTACTTCCGACGGTTCCGCTGATCCACGCGTGACATGGGGCTGACATGTGACCACACAACCAGGAAACCCGTGCTGCTTTTAGACGAGAATGTTTTGATCTATACTTACCGAGTGGTCGAAATCTCTTTGGCTCAAACGCCCAAGACTGTTTTAAGCTCCCCTATAATCGAGGAGATTACGGCAATGCGGAGAGAAAAAAATAATAAAATCGATTATGGACGAGGGGTGGTATTCGATTGATGATACTCCAGCAATGTGGAGAGAAGAAATAGTAAAATCGATTGTGGATGAGAGATAATATTCAATTAATGATATTCCAGCAATATTGAGAAAGTAAAATTGACTGTGGATGAGAGATAATATTCAGTTGATATTCCAGCAATATTAAGAGAAAAAATATTACAATCGACTATGGATAAGAGATAATATTCAGTTGATAATGTTCCAGCAATATTAAGACAAAAAGAAGTAAAATCGACTGTGGATGAGAGATAATATTCAGTGGATGATATTCCAACAATATGGAGAGAAAAAATATTACAATCGACTATGGATAAGAGATAATATTCAGTTGATGATATTCCAGCAATATGGAGAGAAAAAAAAGTAAAATCGACTGTGGATGAGAGATAATAATCAGTGGATGATATTCTAGCAATATTAAGAGAAAAAATATTACAATCGACTATGGATAAGAGACAATATTCAGTTGATGATATTCCAGCAATATTAAGACAAAAATACTAAAATCGACTGTGGACGAGGGTTGATATTCAATTTATAATAATAATATGGAGAAGGGGGGAGGTAAATTGTTCATCCTGTTCCTGTACCTATATTCAAGACGTTTCTTAAAATTGCTAAAGATAATGATAGAATTAATAATCAAAATCTTATATTACTCGTTCTAGGGAATGCTATATCTTGAGCCCCAATTATTATAGGAAATAATCGTATCCATTTTTCTGCAGAATCTGAGCGTCAATTAAGGAGAATTAACTGTACACCGCGGTTTGCTCACGCATTAACATCCAGAGATATTTCACAAAAGAGAAATCGGTGGTTGTTTATCTCACGATGGATCGAACGTTCTAACGAATTCGCGGGGCCTTCTGTTCGCATAAGAATCAATCTGTACGATTGATTGTTCTGACGTAGTAGTACGTCAGAACGCTGGTCCGTACGAATACAGACCTGTGCGCTCCATTGTGACCATTTTATGCTGTTTGATTCGAGTTTTAAAACAGAATCGACAGGTCTTCGAAACATTCGAACTGCGTCATTTATGCTATTGGAAGAATTTTAGTATAATAACCTTGGCCAATGATACAGTTTTTAGAACAATCGGACTCGCGATAACGTTGAGTATCACATACTCGCACGATTTTCATAGATTTCAAGCAGTCTATTGGGTTGGCGACTAAGTAATTGCCGATTTGTTCGATGAAATAAAAAATTTTTTTTACTTGGAACGAAGTTTAGTCTGTAATGTATTTTCCATTTTGTTCGATGACCTTTTGCCATCTCTCCGACAACTTGAAAATTCCACGCTCGTAGAAAGTCCGATCCTTTTCGGCCAAAAACTGAGTTAAGTGAGATTTTACAGCGTCATCGTCGTTAAAAGTTTTACCACGAAGGGAGTTGTCCAGGGATCGAAATAAGTGGTAATCCGATGGCGCGAGATCAGGGCTATACGGTGGGTGTAACATCAATTCCCAACCAATATCCATTAATTTTTGCCGAGTGGACAAAGACGTGTGCGGCCTAGCATTGTCCTGCTGGAAAATGACACCTTCACGATCGACCAATTCTGGTCGCTTTTCCTTGACCGCTGCATTCAATTTTCCAGTTGCTAACATTCACGGATAGTAAAAAATAACATAATAATAATGATAATAATTTTATAATATAACATTTACGGCTATCATAAAAATGGGAGTGAGAGACATCTATAAATCGGCAATTACTTAGTTGCCAACCCAATAGAAGATAATGAACATAACTTTTGCTAAACACGCTGTTTGAAATTAGCCTGAAGAACTAAATCGACTTTCCTGTAATCTTCACGATTTGCACACGGGTTAAACAATTGCATTGTTACCAATGCTCCTATAATCCCTATATATAATAATAATATATAATAATATATATAATAATCCTATATATAATTATATATAATTATATATTATATAATCCTATATATAATAATCCTATAATCCCTAATCCTATATCCAGGGAGGGGTGGGGGGTGTCGGTATTTGTTCACAACGATGATAATATTAACCGGAGCTTCGGTTATCCTCAGATTAACTTTTGAATCAAGGATGAGTCATGGCATTGGAGCAGTCTGGCAACCGGTTCAATTTCGTTCGAATTATTTTGTTCCATATATCATAATAGCAATTAGCAATTACTTAGTTGCCATCCCAATAGAACAATTTCCGATTTTATTATAGGAAATAGGAATAACAACTCGCTAAGAGAGAGAGAGCGAGAGAGAACTAGAGAGAGCGAGAGAGAGAGCGAGAGAGAGAGCAAGAGAAAGAGAGAGAGAGAAAGCCCAGCAGCAGGATCTCGAAAAAACGCGTGCAAAGTACAGCTTAAAAATAGATCGGCGCGGCTAAACATTTGAAAGGTAACCGAGTATTTTAGCGAGGAACTGTATAAATTCCGCTAACGAGCAAGACGTACGATTAGATTGCTGGAAGCCTGAAACGTCGCGTAGACAGCAGAGTCACGAAGGTCCGTCCTCTCCGTGCTGTTCGAGCGAAGGAGTTAAAGGTTAAGAGGTACCTCCGGCAAAAACGTCTCTCGTAGTCTCCACCCCCCGGTGTCGAGCGTGACGAGGGGGCGGGTTCACGAAATCCCCTATATCGTCGCGGCGTTATTCCGTCTCGTTCCTGTATTACGCTATTATTCTCAACCGCTACGAGAGACAGGGGTAGAGGGCCGAGACGGGGGGGTTGAAACGGTGCGCGTCTGGTTCCGGTCGGTAATTCAAAGTCGTTTACGAACCTTTCGACGGTGAACGCGGTGATAGTCAGCACGGTGGCGTTCGCGGACGTCTCCGCGGCGAATCCCTGAATAATGCAGAACGCCTCGCCGAACACGTACGGGAAACGGGACCATATGTAGTACATTTCCTGGGGCAGCCCGGACAGCAGCAGCAGTAAATCAGAGACGGCCAGGCTGAACAGGTAGTAATTGGTGGCGGTGTGCATGGATTTGTTGCGGGCGATCACCACGCACGTCGACACGTTGCCGATCAGCCCGGTGAAGAAGATCACCGCGTAGATCACCGTGATCGGCAGCACGATGTAGAGCGGGTCCCGTCTCGTCGACGAGTCCTCCTGTTGCAGGAACGCGACGATCATGCTGGTCGTACGGTTCTCGAGCACCGTCTCGGGGATGAACGGGCTCTCCCCCGTTGGATCGTGTTGCACGGACGACCGTATCGGCCCCTCGAGATCCCAGGACACGTTCAGACCTCCCGAGATCATCTTACCCGGCTCCGCTGGATGCTCGTTAACGGGGGGGTGAACGACTCGGAGCCGGGCTTTAACTTCCGACCACGGAATTCGTTGCACTCGGCACCCTCTCTTTCGCTCTATCCTCGACGGCTACGAAGCTCGTGGTCTCTAACCGACGCGATTCGACACGGATTTCTTGGTCGACTTATGGTCGCAACGATCGCCCGTATCTTGTCCGACGAACCTCATCCTCGGTGCTTTATTCGTGAGAGATCCTCGGATACGCCCACGCCGGTGATCAGGCCGGTTTCAAGCTGCTCGGGGCGTCGATCCAACGATTATGGGTCGACGGTCTATCTAGGACTCTCGGCGATGGCACCTGCCACCGTCGGAACCCGGGCGGAAAACGGGACGAGAAGCGGCCGAGAAGCGGACGAGAAGTGGACGAACGACGAAACACGGCTCGTTAAGTGTTGCTAAACAGCCTGGCCGGCCCGAGGAAGCCGCGGGATCGATGCGGGATCTCGAAAATAGATCGCATCAACCGGAACGCCACCACGAAAAATCTTCTGTTCCAGCCGGCGAATAGGAATTGTTCTTCCGGGGGACATATTAATAGAAGATCGCCAAGGCGGCATCAGCTTCTTACAAATCCCCGAGCCTGCACCGCCGGATTCCGTGTCAGTCCGCGGGAAACCACGTCCGTTCCGATCGCATCCTCGAACTGCAAATTCAGGGAATCGAATAAGTCCAGCTGCCAATACGGTCGGCGACGAATATACCTGGCTACTCTTTGAAAATGGTATAGCTTTCTTTTAGAACTATATATTCCTATCGAAACTATATACCCTTGATTATAATAATTATATTTTCATGCGAAGACATTAGTGATTCGTTACTCTTTCCGGAACAAAAATCATGCTATCCAGTGCTGTAGAAGTACAGTGTCGTTATAGTGCCATTATAGAACTATATATTCCTATTGAAACTATATATTTATCTATTGAAACTATATACCCTTGATTATAATAATTATATTTTCATGCGAAGACATTATTAATTCGTTACTCTTTTCCGAACAAAAATCATGCTATCCAGTGCTGTAGAAGTACAATGTCATTATAGTGCCATTATAGAACTATATATTCCTATCGAAACTATTTATTTATCGAAACTATATACCCTTGATTATAATAATTATATTTTCATGCGGAGACACAGTAGTTCGTTATATTTTTCCAAACAAAAATCATGCTATCCAGTGTTGTAGAAGTACAGTGTCGTTATAGTGTCATTATAGAACTATATATTCCTATCGAAACCATATATTTATTTATCGGAACTATATACCCTTGATTATAATAATTATATTTTCATGCAAAGACACTATAGTTCGTTATTCCTTTCCGAACAAAAATCATGCTAGTATATTATAGTGTCATTATAGAACTATATATTCCTATCGAAACTATATACCCTTGATTATAATAATTATATTTAATTATATTAATTAAATTAATTTAAATTAAATTAATTTAAATTAATATTTATTATTATAATTATAATAATTATATTTTTGATATATATTGCACTATCCAGTGCAGTAGAAGTACAGTGTCGTACAAAACGTTTTCGCAATTTTCTTATCTTGTTAGAGCGAAACGGTGCTATAGCTTGCAGTGCTATACGCGGGCTCCCGCAAAATGTATCCTATCGTGTTAGAGAGAAACCGTGTTATAGGATGGCTATACTGGGATACCTGCACTGGTTTATGCAAACAGTCGTATGCTTTTCAACCGAGAATACATATACGTACGGAGAACGTACTAACACGTGTCCCGCATACAATGCGTTAATATTATTCGCTCCGAAATAAAACTAGACCATCGGTTGTCTCGATCTTGATCTTGATCTTTCTCGGTCGAAACTGTCAGGCCATTACCGATGATGCACTGTGCGTATGGCATCTCCGCGATAGTTAACTGACTTTAAGTAAACTGAATTTAACCTTGACTGACCGAATTTGGGCACAAGGAGCAATGACAATTGACGCAAATGACTTTGCACCGCCGACGCGTCGAAAGAATATTTTTCCTGCGTTCGCAAGGTCGGATTTCTGGCTAAAATTATCGCGATTATTAATTCGAACATTATTGGATGTTCACGCTGACATAATACAGCATCCGCTTCATCATCCTCTTCCGCATTGATCGCGCAAAACTAAGATGCAACGTTGCAATTAACTTCCAATCCGATCTAGTTTCAGCTAGATCGTTTATGGAATTGTTTGCGCGCGGCGCGCTTTGACAAATAATTCGTACAAAATCTACGACGCGTCGCGGTAATCAGGGTGGGTGTCCCAATTACCGTGCCTTCGAGCCAATTTTTGCTTCGCCGAAACTCTCGTTAAATGCTGGCATTTTCATTTAACGCACTATAAGTATATTTCGATTTTTCAGAGATCTTTGAGATTTTAAATGTTTGAATCTTGATTTTAATACTAAATTATAATATAATATTTTAATACTAAAAAATTTAATTAATTAATTAAAAAAGAATTTTATATAATATTTTAATACTAATAAAAATGTAATATCCCTCCCTGAGTCTTACACGTTGATAGCTAAACCTAATAAAAAGAAATAGATTGTCAATTTTGATATGATACTTTTCTTTTTCTGCGTTTTCAATCCGGGGGCGCGGAAATTGGGACAGCCACGGAAACTGGGACCCATTCGGTTAATGCACGGTGCATTTTCCGCTTACGTTCAAGCTGAAATAAATAAACAAAACACCCGACGAAGGTAACAACATTTCGACAAACCTCGTATAAATAACCCTAGCAAATAGCCTTTGCAATAATTAATATTCTTCCGTAATAAACCTCGTGAATAACCTTTGACTAACCTCTCGGACAAATAGCCGATGGCAATACCGATCCAGTTCTTAAAACGACGATCCAATTTCGTCGATCCCTGGTCGCGTTAACGCGTCGAACTGTAATTACAATAAAAAAACTATCGAATGCCTGCGATGCCCGAATTAATTGAACGTTGTCGTCTACTGTGTTCGTTCGGCGCAAATGTCCCATCAATTTATATCTGGCGACATAACAATCGTTCAATTCCCTCGCATGTCGCACCAATTCCCGTCAAAATAGACGCAACGAAGAACCCAACCGCGGTGCACAAGGCAAGCTAACTGGCCAGTGTTTTACTCGACCATCGATCAGGCTATTAATACCTTTCAAAATGTTTCCCAGACCGCGTTTTAACCGATCTATCCGCAATGATTAATCCGATCACACGGATCGCTTTATTTATTGCGCCAGGCGTGATCCAATTAAACTGCGGACTCCTCTCATCTAGAACGGACGTCTTCGCCTTCCTCGAACGACCAGCAGAATACCGTCGCGAGGCCTCGTTTAATTGTGCGAATGCATCTCGAACACAGCGACGGCGCGATCGCGTTAATTATCGAGCTAATTATTAAGTCCCTAATTATTAAGTCAATTATTAAGTCCCTGTCCACGTTGCGATGATAGATAAACCGTAGGTTCAACCGGCGAGTCCTAAAGATTTATTATTGATCGATGCTCGAGAAAACGATCAAAGCTCGATCATTCAAACGAGATCATTCGTTTCGTCCGGACGAGCAGGCTTTGTAAATAATCATCGCCGAGATTAATTTGTTTTCCAACTGACCGGCACAGAGCTCTCTGTCGCAAGTTTTAACGCGCTCAACGACGGATCGTTTCGCTCCGATGACACTCGTCGGGATAACTTTAGAAGATCCGGCTCGTTCTCGAGCGAGTACCGCTGATTTCGATAAATATACACGCGTCAGTTCTTGTTATCCGTCGAAAAGATCGGCGTCCTCGCGAGCGTCTCTCGGCCTCGGAATTCGTGATCGCTCTACTTCCGGCCATCCGCCGCTGCTCGAACGTTCCTCTCGATCTCCTTAACCATTTATCTCCGAGAACTGTACATTTAAGATTTCATTAAACAACTATAATAATATTTTTAACATTTCATTATATAATTATAGTAATATTTAATTTAATCATTATCTCGCGCAGCGGCGCGCCGCCTTCTTCCAATTTTCCGCCGCCGTTCGACGCTCGACTCTGGTTCATTACAACGGAAAATGCCGCGCCAAAGTTATTTTCATCATGTTTTCAGCCATCTGGAACCGTAATCCGATAGTTCCCCTTACAAAATCGACACTTCGAACATCACCGACTCGTTCGCAACGTTTCCTCCCTCGATCGTCCACACCAATTTCCCGAATTCCGCGACCGATCCGATGGCGCTAACAGGTTGCAATATCACTAATCATGCGCAACGCGTGCAGTTTCCGAACTTTCTGCCGTCCTCGTCGAACGAGCCGCACTACGATCGCGAGTCCTGGAAATTTCTATAATACTTTTGCTAGATCGCGAAGCTCCGCGCCGCAAACCGAAGTTCGTTCGAACTTCAACCACCCGACACGTTCATCCCGCGGCTCATCCACGACTGAGTCCTTTCGATTATCCGCCGACCTGGCCTGTCTCCACGCTGTACTGGGGACATATCTGACCCTAGACGCGCGTTTAATCATAGCCGGAGCGGATTGATTCGCACGCGTCGCCGCGTCGCGACGCGGCCGCGCCGCCGCACCGCGCCAGAAAAGCCCGAAATCGTGCCCGAAACCCGAAAAATCGAAGGCTGCCCGTGGGGAGCTTTCGATCCGCGGATTGGCCGCTTCAACGACGCGCCTGTATCGTGGGAGAAACGAAACGACACTTCGAAATTGCACTTCGAACTTCGAGTTTTTCGATAGGAATTTCTCTCTTATTCGCGCTCGGATTGCGGACAAAAATGGACAATTGTTCGGGCCTCGTGCCTCGTTTTTATAGTTGTCGACAATCGGTAACTATAAAAACGAGTTAAGCCGTTTATTTTGAAAGTGGCATAAGTCACTTTGTCGCGATGAAAAGTGGTGATTTTTTTAATGTTTATACGAAATTATTTATAATGAGAAAAATATCGGTATCCTGAGATAACAAATACAAGTAAATCTTCTCGAAAGTTAGCATCCATATTTTTAAACGTGTTAACCCTTTTAGTGCCGCAGGCCGATATATCGGCTCTTGCTGCACTGGCGAGAAGTGCCAGAGCCGATATATCGGCCCGCGCCTTATAGCGCTTTATAATAACAAAATTTTACGCATTTACAATATATAAATATAAATATAAATATAAATGTTTATGTTACTATAATGAAGTATTATGCAAAATTATATCACAAATATATTTATGACAACATAATTTTGTTTCAGCAATGTTATATTACCTGTAACAATTACATATTTCGGAAGAGATAATCCGTCCGGCGCTTACCATGTACCTTCGAGTTGTTTTTTATGTTTGTTATGTAATATTATTTATCTTGTTACAAAATATATCAGAAATGCAAAGTATATACTTTGTAATAAATGATCTATATAAAATTATGACGAAAAGATGACTTTTTGTATGTGCAAATACGTTTTGTAAGAGAGAACTGGACTTTTACT